CGTTGATATATGTTCGCCAGATGTTTCATCCTTAACAACTATTACATGTTCACCCGTAACTTTAAGTACAGATATGATAACACATTGTTCAATCGCGGATAAAACTCAAATCGTTCGCGTGTCAATACATTCTATTTGGTGAAGCATTTTAAAAGCCACATATAGTAATAAGTTGACTCTTAGTCCTCACCCGTTAGTTATATCAATTTTATACATTTCTCATTGATTCTGAATAAGTAGCACGTTCTGCATATCGTTTTAAACCGATATAATAAGCCAAAAAGAGTATTATAGGTACAATGAAAATATTGCGGCAGATAATAATAAAGAATATGGAAAAATAAATATTTTAACTGAACATTTTAATACTTATTGTACCTTGCCTGCCTTCACTTTGTAAAGGATTTTGCAAAATCGATTACTTAATTTTCCATCACATTGATTTTGAACCACTGTATCAATTTGGCACGAACAAACACATTAAATTGAAGAACTAAGGGACCACAGTGAGGATTAACAACACCTACTTTAAATAATTCGTTAACTATTAGAAAACTGGACGAAACAATTGTAGTCTCTGTCTTGGAAGATACGTATGGCAGGATTTTTTGTTTAGTAGGAATTGTGTCTTTTAGGAGAAGGTCTGAAGTATGGTTTTTTTCATTCTAGCACGGCGTCATCCATGCCTAAAGTTACGTTAAAACGAGTCACTATCCTCGCAACACGATAACGTTCCAGAAATCTTGCAATTTTGTAGGAAACAAACTTGCAGCTCGGTAGAGAAATAAATTCTGCGGAGATCCGGACTGAAGCCGAATTCTGTAATGAACGATTTTGTAACAACTCGTCGCTGTGCGCTATTCAATTAGAATCTAGTCCTAGTCAGCCGATCGATTAACACAAGACACAAACAAAAGCATAGACTGTGACTGCGTCCAAATTCATGACACGTGCGAAGTGACAAAATTGTATTTGTCGCATTGCAACCACGACGTTTGCAACCATAATGTCTAAAATGGTGAATTTCGTGTTATTCTGGCAGAAAAAATTGTCGTTTTCACGCGTCTGACAGCAAAATTGATGAATAGGCATGGGATCAAGTTCAATATACAGTAAATTCTCTCCAATTGTCCCTCAGCTTAGAAACAAAAATGGACAATTTGCGAAGAGAAGATACGATTATTCGAGCCTTGTATAGCTCATGCTTATAATCGTTGACAATCGGCGACTATAAAAACGAGCCGCGAGCCTCGAATAATCGTATCTCCTCTGCTTTAATTATTCATTTTTTATTAAAAGTTGAGAGAATTGGAGAGAATTTACTGTACTTAGAAATACTAGTCAGTTACGATTGCTATTTAAAATTAATAAGATTTTAATGAACATACTTGTAGCACGATAATTTTATAAAAATTACTTTCGAATTTCGAAATGAGTACTCGTAATTAGTTTAATCTTAAAAAGATTAGAATCCCTCAGAAATAATACTTGGATTTCAATATAATTTAAATATCAATAGATATAGCTGAGTAAGAGTAGATACGACAACCATGTTCAGTTTATGACCTCTTTTTCCTACTTTTCAATTTTCTTACTTACGGTAATACGAAACTATATGAAATCACAATAAATAAATCGTAAGGTCAATTTTGTATTGTTCTAGTCTCTTAATTGCATCCAATATTTCATTTTAGCAAAAGTAGTTCGCAAATACCTTTGCATCATGGGAACATCTGTTGAATCGGAAACAGAAAGACTATTCTCGAGGGCAGGAAACATTATCAATAAAAAAGCAAATAGGTTAAAGCCAATAATTCTTAACCGGATATTATTTTTGAATTTTTACAAATATACAGGCAGAAATAGATAAATTAATTGCTTAACATGTAAAAGACAAACTATTTCGAGTTAAAAAATATAAATACGTAATCTCAACTATACTTGCGCCTAATTTTCACTGGAGTATACATTGTTTCAAAGAATAGAGAACTTTCGATGGTAGTTACATCGATATTAACCGTTTAAATTTACTCTCAACCAGGATTTTAGTATTACTTGGAAGCATCACTTGAGTTTAAAGTAACCGAACCTACCTCCTTTGAATTCGACTCTAGTTGAAAGTACAGCTTTCCTTTTTCGAAGGATTAATGAGATATTCAAAGCTATTAAGTTAGATTCGAATCTACTTACAACGTACTTGATCCCATTTCTGCTGGTGAAATTCTATTCATCTTCTTATTAAACGTTACATAGGGTGTTGCGTCGCAAGTCGGAAGCGCAGCAGGGACGAATTCAGCACACTAAAAGAAGCAAAAAAGCTCACATAAACTTATACTATTATATATATATTTTTTGTTGTAACAATCTTCTCCATGTATAGATACAACGAAATCAGATATTGGTTAATAATTCTTTACACGATTTGACAAAGATCACACAAAGTCGAATTTCGATAATCTTTGATAAGATATGGTTACGTCTACGTGAAAGCTAGATCAAGATTGCAACCTAAAACAAGATTGCGAGAAGTGTTCGTTAATATGAACTTTTTTGCTTATGTCAGTATGTTGAATTCGTTCATGCTGTATATCTTTCATTTGCGACAAAATATTCTGTGCACCTGTTCTATTGAATCTGGTTTCCTTTTCCTTGTATTTGCAAATGACGTATAATTCATATAATCATTTTCACTAAAAAAAAAGACAACTACCGCTTTGTCGAAGACATCTTAAAAACTGATTCTGTACTTAAAATAGTACAACAGTCGCATATTATACGACATCAATTAGGATGCAATGTGAGGATACAGTCGAGTGTCACAGAGCGAAGTTGACGTGAATGGAAGATCGGCAGAAATCGTTTGAGAGGATAGTGGCAGCTGATAGATCATGGATAAATCTTTCTCTGACGAAGAGATGCGACCCATTTCGTTGGTCTCGCAAATCAGCATCGTCGCTACTCAATTAACGAAAAATGATACGGAGCTGAGAACGCTTCGTCGATCGTTTTTCAATGTCTTTTTTTTCCTTCCGCAAACGAACGCGTTCCACATCTATTCTTCAAAACTTATATTCTAAGCAACGATCGCGCCGATGAACTTAAAACCAAAGACTCGCTTACATCTTGGACGATGAAGACGATTTTCGATCAATGATACTCTAACGCTCAAAAATGTTTGATCACCGATGAATTTGCGTTTCTAAAATTGTCCTCGTTTGATTGTTTTCCGTTGTTAGATGTAAATTTTTTCTTGGAATATGATATTAACCCTTTCGCTACTACGGGCCACTATAGTGGCCCTCCATAAGATGTCACTGAGGTACTACGGGCCACTATAGTGGCCTTTCGTATGATGCCACTGAGGTACTACGGGCCACTATAGTGGCCCTCCATAAGATGCCACTGAGGTACTACGGGCCACTATAGTGGCCCTCCATAAGATGCCACTGAGGTACTACGGGCCACTATAGTGGCCCTCCATAAGATGCCACTGAGGTACTACGGGCCACTATAGTGGCCCTCCATAAGATGCCACTGAGGTACTACGGGCCACTATAGTGGCCCTCCATAAGATGCCACTGAGGTACTACGGGCCACTATAGTGGCCCTCCATAAGATGCCACTGAGGTACTACGGGCCACTATAGTGGCCCTCCATAAGATGCCACTGAGGTACTACGGGCCACTATAGTGGCCCTCCATAAGATGCCACTGAGGTACTACGGGCCACTATAGTGGCCCTCCATAAGATGCCACTGAGGTACTACGGGCCACTATAGTGGCCCTCCATAAGATGCCACTGAGGTACTACGGGCCACTATAGTGGCCCTCCATAAGATGCCACTGAGGTACTACGGGCCACTATAGTGGCCCTCCATAAGATGCCACTGAGGTACTACGGGCCACTATAGTGGCCCTCCATAAGATGCCACTGAGGTACTACGGGCCACTATAGTGGCCCTCCATAAGATGCCACTGAGGTACTACGGGCCACTATAGTGGCCCTCCATAAGATGCCACTGAGGTACTACGGGCCACTATAGTGGCCCTCCATAAGATGCCACTGAGGTACTACGGGCCACTATAGTGGCCCTCCATAAGATGCCACTGAGGTACTACGGGCCACTATAGTGGCCCTCCATAAGATGCCACTGAGGTACTACGGGCCACTATAGTGGCCTTTCGTATGATGCCACTGAGGTACTACGGGCCACTATAGTGGCCTTTCATAAGATGCCACTGAGGTACTATGGGCCACTATAGTGGCCTTCCAAAAGATGCATTATATTGCATAATGTTATTTCCTCTCATACTGTAAATTAAAGAGCGCATGCTAAGACGTTATAAATACCCTGGAATACCCTTTATTTATAAATACCCTTTGGAGAGAAATTTTTTCGTACGAAAACATTCAAGCAGCTTGGGTTCTCCGCCGTGGTACTCCCGCTGACGATCGGCGTCGCGTAGCGTGCAGTGATGTCGCGGCGCTCCGTTCAGCGGAAGTACCGCGGTGGAGAACCCGCCCGTAGCGAAAGGGTTAAAGGTAGCTGAAACATAATTCATTGATTTAACGCTTATGCGCTATTCAGAAAATTAGGTTATTTATATTTTGCGAATTCAGTTGGATCACAATTGGCATTCAACTCTGGAAAACATTCCTTAAGTTGTGTACAATGTATACAAGTTATTGATGTTAACGTTTAAATAATATAGAGCAACAACTATGTACAAGAGAAATGACAGCTCCAGAATTTTTCAAAAGAAGAGTTCTGAAAAGTGATATGAATCTTGCATTGTTCGTTAATTCGTAGATAAAAAAGATTGCCATCGAAAAACTGCTGTTGGGTCAAAATGGCACAAACGAGATACTATCCCCGAATTTTTTAACTAATCGTTTCTGAGCAATGTACGAGGATTAAATATCGTAAGCACATTTTTGAGCGACAGTGCATCCGAAACTAAAGTCGTTGTTTCCTTTACATGTTGTTACTCTGCGAGGTGTTAATGGTTTTTTGCCTTTTGAATCGGATAAACCGTATTTACTAACACGGTTCACGAACGAAGCAGCAGCCCAAAAACCACGCAGTCAATTGATTCGGCAAAAAGGTTAAACGAGACTATCAAAACGAAGCGAGAGACACCTCTAATTTAAAACTAAGTCTTCGGTGCAAGTCCGTTGAAACTTTGCCGTACGCGCGTTCTACGTCTACAGTACCGTAACTAGAACGATTACCGAATGGAATTGATCTACGACGAGTCGTATTTGCCTTTCGATATACTTGAGCTCCACTATTCTCGAAATGCTGTAATATCCTAGCAGAAATTAACAACAAATGAAATAGGATCGTGTGTGATGATGCCAAGGGGCGCGAACAGTTTTCGGTAGCATAGTCAATGCTTTCGAAATGAGAAACAAAGGTGTACATTATATCAGCTAATTAACCGCTTAGTCGATCCGTGTCCAACTAGGACAGAGCAGCCGGGGCCATAAGCCACGCCACCAGTAGTGAAAAACCACTAGTGGAATGGTCCAAGGTTGAAGCACAGGCACTGGTCACAAATACTTCTTCTTTTCTCTCGAAAATAATAAATAGACTGTGACAATTCATGCAATTTTTTGGACGCTTTTAAAACATACATTTTCAAGCAATCCCATTAAATTTTGTTATTATTTGAGGTTTTAGTCAAGTTCGCAATTTATCTTTCGTTTATTGCATGGTTTCGAAGTGAGACAAGTTTGAAAAATCATAACTTCGATCCCGATACTACCCTTAGTCGTTATCTTGTAACAGTTGGACACGCCTACTTACGTTAGTCACTTAGGTAACTAAGGTGCTGTACAAATATCGTGGCGAGGAAAGCTACGGTTCGAGGACTGTCAATAAATTACGTTATTGCGAACCGTAAAAACGGGTCTACAATTTCACGGGCTAAGCTTGATTGATCACTCATTGAGAGCTTTGAGTTAACACTTTGCGAACAAACATCTGCAAAATAGTCTAGTTATGTAATATGATCATGATTCGAATCAACGTGAGACGCTAAGTTTGAGATTACCGCAGTTGAAATCTGCTAGATAGGATTTCTGTTTTGTAAAATATAAATGCAGAAGGTAGACACATTAGTTACGCTCCTCTCCGAAACGAATTCATCGATCAATTCTGATTTCGTCCGCAAAGGCTTAAACCCGATTTCTCGTAATCCTAGAATCCCAAGATTTCTCTATGTGTACAGGGATTAATGAGTTGCATATATTAATATTTATATACATATATATCGCGATTGGACCTCTTATGCAGCGTTTACAGTGAACGGACCGGTACATGTACTTGTTACGCGTATTACATACAAGTCGGTTTAAATAAAACAGAGTATAAACTAGTAATTACGTATCTTAGTGACTTATAGAGCGAGGAAAGGCCTTCTAGTTACGGCACTTGGGACGACCAACGAAAACTGTTTCTCCGGTCGCGTCGCGCATTCCCTTTGAGAATTCAGAGATTCTCTTGCTCAACGGAAGAAACGCACTTGAAACGACATCTTCCTGCCTTCAGGCACTAGACGACAATAATAAATATTAAATTAATTACCTAGATAGAACACGACGCGGATCGATCGCCACCGTTGGCCCGAGATTGACTCGGTCGTCGCAGCTTTTTCTATTATCACCTAATATCATTAATAATCCCCTTCGCCGTTATTTAGTTTATTTATTTAATTAGCCCCGGACAAGACACGCGAGCGCACGGGTTCCCTTATTATTTACACGATTTAACTCTCTATTATTGCAACAGTAACAAAATATTCGTATTTTTCAACTTCCTTTTTCTCTTGAAGCTCGCGGGAGATACGTTAATGCCCATTAAGAGTATTTTGATTTCGATAATATTCTACTTTCCAGTCTCTCGTCTCTTTTTTACGCGTTCAGTGAAATTCAATCCTCCGTTTCTTTCTTCTCCTTGTACATCGATCGTACGTATTAGTCGATAATGAACACCAAATGGAATGGGGGAAAAGACACGTTCACTGTTTCAAACTTCTCTCGACCGTTTGAAACAACTTGTGGCACTTGCATGCCACTCCGACCGTATGCTTTAAATTCGTTAGTGTTCTCTACCATCCGTAAAGTAGTCGGAATTTGTATTCACACACGAGCAACGTCGGACCAACGATCTGTCGAAACCGTTCTATCTGGGTAGTCGTTCTTTATTTTATTATCGTTAACGTTACTGTTGTTACACAGTATGTACAACGTGTGCGATCGTGCGAACTCGGGACACGGTTCAAGCTTCTGTCGTATGTATACTGAAAATTGCGGAATCTAAACACACAATTGCACCTCAAAACGTACTCCTCTGATAACGTAATATTATCCAATCTCTATTTATAACAAGAAACGATAGCAATCGAAGATGCTCTAAACATTCAGGTCAATTCCGATTAATTTCTGCCCACTATACGGCCGTCCTTATTTAAAATGTCTCATCTACTAATTTACCACTTTTCAGGATACTTTAAAATATTTAGAACATCGCGTGCCTTCATAAGAGTTTCAAATGTAATTCCATTTATTTATTTGTAAGATTATTTTATTAATTTAAAGCTTTGGGGTTTTTAGATGTTCAAAAATATTAGTTAGTACGATTTAACTAAGGAGAACAGCATGAGCCAGCAATTCTAAGTTCTAGATGTATGTATAGACGTATAGTGGATTTTTATGCAAAGTGAAAATTCGATACATCAATTGGAAGGAATACGAGCCAAATAAAAATTGCGTATCTTTAGTAGATTCAAAATAATACATAGATATTTTTAAGTTCTTTTAATCTGTCTCTACTATTATAAATTATATCTACTCATTTTTGTCACACTGTTGACGTGAATTTTGTTTTCAAGTGTAATTATCCCATGGTCCACGATTATCAGTAAACTCGACATTCAAGCAAATCGTTACATATAGAACAGAACAAATGCAGAGAGAATTATTTAGAGAATTATCATGGATACTCATTCAATTATTCATTCCTGATAATCATTGCCTGTCCTTGTTCAATAAGTAACACCTGTCCTCGAGATTCACTTCGGAAACGAAGCTACTTAACGCTTAATCTCTTTCTTTCGTTACTATTAAACTGCAGTAACATCTTAGAATACCTCCGACTGTGTACTGTACACACGTACCGTCTTAAACACTACACTTTCTTCCGACCAGCATTATTCTCAACCACTAGCCGCCCACCTAAGAAAGAATATCGACTTCGTAAAATATGTAATGTCAGCCTGTGTTGGACGTTCGATTACATGCACCATTAGCTTTCCCTATAAATTAAGTAAACTACTGCTGCGAAATCGACGATACATTGAACACATAACTAAAACAAACAAGAATCGAAACAATGGAGTACGAGACGGAAATGTTATTTTTGTTCCAATAAAATGTTGGTAATAATGGTTTAGTAAGATTTGTCTTACGATACTCATCAAGAAATTCAAATATCAATCGAACAAAAACAATGTTACTAAATTCGAGAAACTTCTAAATGTTAGGATATCCCATAAGTTCAATAATTTTCTGACGCTGAATTAGACCTTCCAATTTTTCGATATCGAACTTGTTTACTTCCTTGTTTGTAAAAGTTTTAACTCTTCTGGTATCAGAAAAGTATTCCTTTTCAATGTCCCGTCGATTGTGTAATCTTTTATTTTGCAAGTAGCTTTTCAATTAAACGAGATACTAACTAAAGTGTGAATTTTTTGCGCAAATCTTGTAATAAATATGCTATATTCCGAATTCTCATATAATTTCATATAGTTATACTGCGGATCTTTATGAATGATGTTCGTAAGTGATTTTCTAAATATCAGACAAAAGAAAATCTCCCATATATATGGACAATAAATTATGAATCTTTTCAATTTTCGTTGACATCAACGATTAAATTTATTTTACAAATCGACCGGTGCATAAAAATCTGCAATTTAAGAAGCCGTGAAAGGATGTTACGAATTTTGCACACCTAAGATGTCTTAATTCTTTGATCTTTTCAAAAGAGCCCACGACAAAATAATGGAACATCAGGTTCATATAATCGAAGGCTTCTGAAATATTGTACCAACGATTCGATTCGGCTATTCTTTCGTTCGTGGAACAACGAAGGACCGGAGGACACTTCAGCAAAATTGGGGTGGACTGGATTACGCAGTCCGAATCGATCCCACCCTCGACTACGTCGCGTCTCTGTATTATTCCCGTTGCCTCAGTCGATCGATTAAGAATAAATACGGCCAAGAAAAATACTCATCCGGACATCTATTACTACAAAATACAGATACTCTCTTTTTGTCTTCTTCGGTTCTCCCCGCTTAAACCCATAGCTTACTTTATACTTATTGCAAAGGTTGTTGGCATACTTATTGCAAGTTTACCAAGATGATACCTCTACGAGTAAACCGCGCACCCATTCGAGACCGTTTCCTTGTCGGAGGAAAATACCCTCGGCACTAGTTTTTTGGCGCAACGCGTCGGGATTGCGGCTCGCGTGAACGGTATACATTCAATAAGGAACTCTGATGTGTGTATGTTTGGAATCGCGTATGCCGAATGCGCAAGCAATTTCCGGTTGGTCGATCCGAAATTATCTCTCGTGTGTTAGTGTTTCTCCTGTGCTACTTATCTCCTAGATACTGAGGCACCGCGAGAAAGCTACGGTTTTTCTCTCACAAGGAACGGATGTTTTCCCTTGACTATAATGATTTCGTTTTCCATTCATTTCTTTCCGCTTCTGTTATATATCATTTAATAAATCAGTCAATCCACGAGCCAAGAAGTAGCTTCCTCGTGGAACTGGTTATATCCTGAAGAACACACTGAAACAGTAATCCTGTGCCACTGAAGTGGAAACGGATCAAGATTTCTCTATAAAAGACGAGGTAACATAGGCCAAAATCGCGAATGGTAGCAATGTACGTTGTGTCTCGTGTCATCTCTATTTACAACAATTCAACGTAGAGTTTGTAGAGATATGTATAAGCAAACCTTGATGTGTCGAGTTTGGCACGATGTGATGCGACGCAACGCGAAACGAGTGCTCGGGAACCTTTCCTTCGTACGTGTACAATGATTTCATTGTTGAGACACTCTTCGCGGCGTATCGGTTTGGCCAACAAAAACAAGCAACATAGTTTCATCTAATGTACAGCCAGTAGAAGAAGTTTCCGTACACGTTGTAAAATATTCTTAATGCTGTACATCTCCGATCGAGGAGATGAGAATTAAATAATTTGTATATGACACTCTATTCAGAGATATAATATTTATTATTAACGAAACAGTTAACAATCGAAACAAAAGAGACAAACATAACAAAAATAAACGAGATTTCGAAACAAGATTTGGTGCGGTAGTCCGAAGTCAAGTACAAGTTAGTTGTTTCTTGTTTTTTTTAGATCTTATTGGAAATATTTGGAAACACCAACTGCAATTCGTGAATGAGAATTAAGTAGAGGGGCAAAATTCTACGCGCAATAAAATATGATTCGTGTACAAAGGTACCGAAATTGGCAGGAATAATTGAAACATAGATCGTACAATCAGAAGTAAATCTGGTATAAGCATAGCTAATAGTTTTCAGCGTCTGCTTGTAAATTTAAATGTTAACAATGATCAAAACTTTTACTATATAGGAAATCTAGAAGGATCGCTTATTATTCAACTAATAACAACCGTAAACATAATTTAAAAATGCAACATCAAAATATAATTAATTGATATATCAAGTTTTAATAAAAAAGATTGGTTGGCATGATGGTAAAAAACAGCAAATTAATCAAGTGAAGAAGACCGATTGAAAATTATTTAAAAACAATCATGCCTAATAATTTTATATGCACTTATTATCCCATTTTTTCTGTTTGCCTTTTTCTTTATTTTAACTATTACCAAATGAATATATGCATATATGTTTGTGTTTCCTAATATAATAATGTAAAAGTGATTCGTCTCATATCTGCTCGATCAGTGATATACTAAATTTGTTTAAACTGACTGTACATCGTTTCATTAATAAGTGAACAGCTCGATAGGATAATCCCAAGAAAAGTAGTATCATATTGATTCCAATTTTTCGGAAAACGCATTGCAATGCTCAACCCAGGTATAACCCAGAATGATAAAACTCTAAGGAATATCGAATAACAAAAAATTCAATGTATAATCATGCAACTCAACTTCGTATAATTAATCAGTTCTTGATGATATTGACGGCTACAGCTACTAAACGCTAAAATTGCTCATCGAACAAGAGGTCAGAGGTTGCCTCGAAAGGTCGAGGAACTTTTGGTTGCGCTTCTAATACAACAGAAACTCTTTCGAATAATCACGCAGAGTTCCTTCCTGGAAAAGATTTTGGACACGCAGAACGGCGACATCTCATTAATCGTTCGTCACCATCAAGGTTCTCTTGGTAAAAGAGCCCCGGTAGGTTCTATAATCGGAGCTCGACGAGAACATTCCCCTGTGATCGTCGGGAGAATCGCAATATTGCCCAGAATATCGTCTGTATATTGTATCTACAAGGTCTTGGATGGACGATTGGTTCATCGAAGTCAATCTCACCGTTCCAGAGGCACGTTCTCCAAATTGGTTACATTACCGAAATGCTGGAAACCGTTCTTGAAGATGCGACCTCTGCTGGTGCCAGCCTTAGTTTGATCTAAAAGCGTCACGTTGTCCTCGAACTCCTTGACCCAGCGGGCGGTCTCGTTGCCCCAGTGGAACCTGATAGGAGCAGCCGGATGATAAGGCTTTTTCAAGCCCGACTTCCGGCTCTCCACACCCTCCGCGGAGTGGTAGAACGAGTTCTCGCAGAAGTCCTGCCTAAGACAAGGCTCTAGCTCGCCCACGATCTCCATGAACGTGGGACGATCGCTGGGCCGCCACTTGAAACACTTTTCCATGATCTTGTGGATATTCTCGGGACAGTTCCGCGGTATGTTCAACGTTCCTTTGTGCAATACGTGGCTAAGCACCTCCTCGTTCGAGAAACCTTGGTACGGCATTTCGGCCAAGGTCAAGATCTCATAGAGAACCACACCAAAGGACCAGACGTCGGAATCGGACGTAAACATACCGTCGGAGAGGTTTTCCGGCGCCATCCATCTAATAGGCAGCAAGCCTTTCCGGCCGATTTTGTAATAGTCAGTCTCGTAGATATCCCTAGCCATGCCGAAGTCACCGATTTTGCAGACCAGGTCCTTGGACACCATACAGTTTCTCGCAGCCAGATCACGATGCACATATTTCTTCGACTCCAGATAGGCCATACCGTCGGCAATCTCTGCCGCCATTCTCATGATTCCGCAGGCGTCCGGAACTAGATCCGGTCTGTCGCGAATCTTGCGTAGATAGGTCTTCAGATCTCCGTTCTCCATCAGCTCCATGATAACGTATGGAGGATTTTCGATGGACACCACGCCCAGGAGTTTGATAATGTGATACGTTGAGAAGTTCTTCATCACCGAAGCCTCGTTCAAGAATTCGTTCTTTTCCCTCTGGCTGGCCGTCTTTGAGATCGTTTTGATGGCCACCGGTGTGGTCTTGTCGTAGACTCCTTGGTATACCATGCCAAAGTTGCCCAGGCCAAGCTTCTCCACGATCTCGACACTCTCTGCAGGCACTTCCCAGTCGTCGATCACGTACTTAGTTTCTATATAATCCGGGTTCACGATTGCTATCAGTCTCTCCTGCTTTTTCTTCTTATGCTGTATCCTCAACAGAACGAAAATCGTGATCGAGATAACAGAAAAAGTGGCTACTGTCAATAAAGATATCATAGTAATCGGGGCAGTGTTCGACACGTTTATGGAGAAGTGAACCACATCGGAGAAGGGACTATCGCCAGCTAGAGACGTAGATCTCATCCGCAGACTGTACCTGCCAGGGCTACGGTTCTTAATGAAGAACCTGTTCAACTTCTCCTTTTGCCCGATGTTAGGAATACACTCCGTAATCTTCTTAGCGTCCTTGATGTCGAGATTAGTGTACTGTATAGTGTACGTAACTGTCATGGCGTTAGGATTCTTGATCAAGTCCCAAATCACTTCTACGATGGTGTTGTTGGTTACGTATACCTTTACGTTTAGCACGTCGTCCGCGTGATCCAACTTCTTGGTTCTGGCGGTAGTGTATTGGATAGACGAGCACATGTGCGAGTCGTTCACTTTGATGCCGCATGCGGCGATGGATATGCTGTATCGTGTGAAGTGCCGAAGATTCTTTATCACGAACGAATTGTTCGCTCCGCTGACATTATAGGTCACGGTGGACGCGTCTACGACGGTGTTCGAATTGTCAGGCTTTTGAGAGTTCTCCTTCTCCTGGAGCGAGGACGACAACTCGTAAAATTTGTCGTCGACAGAGTTGTAGCTGTTGTAGACGCAGTAGTCCCTCCAACCGGGCGAAATATAGCTGATGGTTGTATTCTCGTGGCAAAATATCTCGAACTTCTTCGAGATGATCACGTGTTGGTTGTCCTTCGAGCAACAAGAAGCAGAGTTCATAATGGGAGTCTTGATGGACACTTCGGGTACTGTCTCTTCGACCTCGTTCTGCAGAGGATTGTTACAGTAATCTCGGTGCGCGACCAAGCTCTCTTCCGAAATCATGGAGCTAGAAATCATGTAGTATCCGATGGGTCCGTTCGGGAAGATAGGTGGCTTCCACGTAACCAAGATTTCAGACTCGCTGTTGACACTGCATACTACGTTGACTGGCGGAGACGGTATCGTACTTTTGGTCCTAAAAAAGATAATTTCGGACTGACCGACCTCGTTCTTCACGAAATTGTTGGTGTTGCGGGCGTTGAACGTCTTCACGAACACTGCGTACATGGTGTACGGTTTCAGGTTGGTGATATGCTTGGACACTGTATTCTTCCACTTCGGGATGTCGACGTCGAGGATCTGCCACGCATTATTGCCACCGCAAGCGTTCGACTCGTAGCTGATGTTCTCGTTCTCCGTCTCCATGTAGTTTAATAGGTAGCTAAGCAACTGTTGGCCCGGGGTCGGCTGGTAGCTATCCCAGACAAGGTCCGCGTAATCCGATCCTAAATCCCGCACTGTGATATTGATATTGACGACATTGCAGGCGACTTTTTCGCCGTTCGATTCCGGCTGCACCTCCATATCCGTGAAATTCGTGATGTTCACCATCTTGCTGAGCTCCAGAATCTTCGAAAGACACAGCTTCGGGTTGTAGTGGAAGAACAGTCGGCCGTTCTCAATTTGGATATTCTGTTCCAGCGGGAACAAATCCGACAGATTCGGATTGTCCAGAACCACTAAGCTGGCATTGTTTATGTCTAGTTTCTCGCCGCGAATCACCTTCAGCTTCTTAAAGAAACTCAGCGACGTGATGGGGAACGAGTGCGTGATTTTCAGGTACTCCGTGATTTCTTCGATCTGGCCGAACGCCTCGGTCAACTCGTTCATGATGTTCGGATTCCCGTTACGGATCTGGAACTCAAGAGCCCCTCTTACCACAGTTGTGCCACGGTACATTTGCGCGTCCGATATATGACGTATCAAAGCACCATGATTCACCTTCCGGCATTGGCTCTCACAGACCCGACACGTGGTCATCTGTAATTTGACAGAAACTCGCATTATCCACGTGCTGTACAGACTGTATACAAAGCATGCAAACTGGACTATTTGGAGCAAGTTACCTGAATGAAACGGTTAACAAAAGAAAAGTTTGTATTTCTGTACACGAGTATTAGCAACTTTATGTAAAATTTGAATTAATGAACCAAAAAAAAGAGAGAAAAAGGCTATGGCGCATGTTATATAGTGACAGACTTTTGAACTTTCTATTATATATCAAGAAAAATCTGTAAAAATAATGAATCACGAAATTGAACATGGTAAAAATTTTGTACTGTATCGTATTGTATTAATCCTGAAGAACAATTACTAAAAGACTGATTCCAGGAATTGATTCGGGAGTTAAATCATAAGTTAAACGTAACTCGCGTGGTGTTCAATGTGTTAAATCGCGACAAGTAAAGAGTTAAAAAATGAGATGGAATTGTGCCTGTGTGGAATAAAAACTTACATTGTTTTGATCTAGAGCGTCCTCGTACCCCTCAGGACACCGAATCAAGCATGATCCATTGAATGGCCTCCAAGCTTGTCCCTCCTCCAGCACGAATATCCTCCTCAAACGACTATTCATCTTCACACATTCATCCGTGGTGATGCAGCGTCTTGAGAGATAGGCGTATCTGCGATACCGATTCAGCGATTCAGTAATCGTAAGTATTGTCTACTACCGGGGAGAAGGCTAAGACGTGACCTTGTCTCCTCGTAATTTGATCCACTGACACTGTCAATTTGACCAGTAGCAAAATTACGTGGACCTAACAATCAATTAGACTCGCATTTCTTCCAGGTGATTTCTTTCTAGCCATAAATAATCATTGTCCCATCGATCACATATGGATGACATTAATTTTTGATTAGATTGTGAAATTCATTTTTATTGTAATATATTGAACAAACTAATGTTACTAGGATTTTTAGAATACAAAAGAATTAAGCTAATATGAATTAAACAACCTTGATATTGTGGCAATTTTTGGAGTTGATATTCGACACTTAACGTGCTAAATAATGTTTCTTTTCATTGATTTAGTCTTCTTTTAAAGTGTAGTAATGAACGCAATGTAAAAGTATTCGATCACTATACGAATTTAATAAAAAGGCTTTCCAGTAAACTTGACATAAGCCAGTGATAGGCAAATGACAATACTCTTTCGGGTATCCTCCAACTAAGAAGCTCTTTTCTTTCCATCCCAAGATGTTCTTTATCTTTTGCATAGAGAAAGGACGGTAATATTACAATGTTATTACTCACAAATGCGAGGGACATTTTTCCACACATTTTCCCTCGTGTCGATAATGCTTGCAAACGTAACAATCGCTATCAGTTGGACCACGACACTCGCCCAGACACTGTTCGTGACATTTTGGTTTCTCCAAACTTTGACAGTGCTGCGCGGTCCAGCAAAGACCTTGTGGACAATGTGAACAACCTGGAACACGATGCATAACATTAGAGAACTATAAACGCAACTATTAAAGTTGCTGCATTATACTTTCATAAAAATATACTATAGTTATCTCTCTGTCTGCATTCATTTATTCACTATACCACAATGATTAAACATTTTATAGTGTTTTGTTCCAATACCATTACCAAGTAAATTTTTCGATGTGTGTTTTGTATACCTTCATTTATTTTCATCTCTAGATTTTGATAACACAAGAATCAAATGTTTCCGATTCAGAAAAAAGTGAATAGCTTTCGTATTTCGAGGACCGTGTATGAATATCTTTGTCACAGTTATAATGATTACAAGATTTTCGAATGTAATACTTTCTAAAAAGAAACAACGATTTATATTCATCGTGTGCCTACATTTTCTTGAATGCCTAAATATTGACGAAAAGAAATCAGAATTTTATTCCGCTTCAAAACAGAACGGAATAATATTCATAATTAACACATACCTGGACAAGACGATTCCTCCCGATTATCCTTAATAACATTGGCGCCAGCCGAAACGATAAGATCCCAATTCAAGTTGTGTGTATAGCAAAGGGTTGGGTTCTTCTCGATCCGTACGCTGCCCCTGGAGATTTCCATGAGTTTTTTCAGTCCAATCTACAAGAAGAGAACCGTGTGGACTTGAATGATTCAGACACGATATTAGCAACCAGGGGTCGAACTATCGGTTAATTCGATTGGCTAATTACAGTCACTTGACCGACGGGGTCAACTAGCCGCGCCAGGCGAATTGAAACAAAACTACGTAGACCAGCATCTCGTCATGGAGACGCCATGGGAATGATCGGTCAATAAATTAGCGTTTAATGCTGTAAACCGACCACTGATGCTACAACAATATAAATATTGCATAATGAAATTAATGTTGTTATTTTTCAATATTTCTATCTGCTCACTTCATCCCAAACTCGTGGACGTCTGTATTTAGTTTGTCCCATGATTGCAAACCTCTAATTGTTTCCATCTGATGTTCATCAATTATGATCTTTAATCGCAGAAAATCAGATGAATTATGCAAGTGTTTGTTTCATTTTCGCTGGACAAATTGTCGGCGTCATATCTATTCATAAACATTGCTCGACTTGTTTTATGATAACAAAATAGCGAATCTTTATGCAAAATAAAAATCCAATTTATTAATTGTCACAAACAGGTGTCATATTGAAACGTCTTTCTTTTCTTAACAATTTCAGTAACTTGAATATAACGTACAGATATTCTTAAACTCTATTGTCTAGCAACAACATCAAATTTGTAGCTTTGCATAATAAACTAATAAAAGATACGGTATTTAATTAACAGCGATCTGTGAGACCGCTAATAGCGGGGTGTAATAGTTAAGGATTAATTTCACTTTCTTTACATACTTCAATTATACAAATATGAGATATTTGAGGCAAAGTAAAGGAAACGTCATATTGACACCGTAGAAAGAACACTAGAAAACAGTGTCAACTAGAAGAATTAGTGTTAAGAAGTCGAAACAATACTATTTAGGGAGTGAAAGCATGCGTGTGTCACGTATCGTTTTCCTTACAACCACAGGCATAAACAGAAATAAGAAATTAAAGTTTTGATAACATCCTGCAGAAGAGAAATGGTGTTACTTTCACACTAAACTTATTGCATCTAAATAAATTCAACCTCGCCATTCTTGTACAGCAATACACATTAGTTACTTTTAATGCACGGTAGATTTAATATTAAGAATATTCGACTTCTACGTTCAAAAAAACTCTCCTCGGTAACTTTAGGATCAATGAGATAAAGACGCTGTACCATTGTTACTCCAATTTTCCCGCCTCTTTCTTATGAACATCCCCTAACCTCATCTGCACTAACTTGTCGAATAACATTGTCACGATGTCGATAGTAAAATCTCGACATAACCAAACTACAAAAAGAAGATTTGCTCTAACCTTTTAGGCACGACGCGCCACTATAGTGGTTTCCGCGGATATCATCTTTCAGAACGACACGCCACTATAGTGGCTTTCGCGGATGTCATCTCTCTGGACGACGCGCCACTATAGTGGCTTGCTCTAGTAGCTCACTCGCTCATCGTTTGAATCAAATAATCGTCTCCATATGCATTGTTTCACACTTCTTTTGTCTTCACATAGATTTACAACAGTCTACAGGGTGTCCCAAAAATGTCTCCCAATCCGGAAATAGCGGGTTCCTCGGATCATTTGAAGCAACTTCTTCCTTTACAAAAATTTTCTCCGAGGCACCGTTAACGAGTTATTAACGAAAAACAGTGACCAATAAGAATCGAGTACGGCTGACGCGAGGCGGCCCAGCTAACCAGCGCACGAAGCCCAGTTCCGCTCATTGGCTCGGTCGCCTCGCGCCAGCTGAGCCTGGATTCGATCGCCTCGACCGCTGGCGTCGTTGGCCCGGCCGCCTCGTGCCAGCTGAGTTGGGATTCGACCGCCTCGACCGCTGGCGCCGATGGCCCGGCCGCCTCGCGCCAGCTGAACTGGGATTCGACCGCTCGACCGCTGGCGCCGTTGGCTCGGCCGACTCACACCAGCTGAGCTGGCTCGGCCACGTCGCGGCAGCTGATCTCGCCTCACATTGGTCACTGTTTCTTGTCATTCGGGACTCGGAATTTCGCCAAAAGTTATGCAAATAAACGACGTTTAGTTATATAATAGTTATATAATATTTAAATATCCTTTTTCGCGACCGATAACAAACCGGTAATAAATTCTCGGAAAGCAGAGTAGCGCGTTCCACGTATAGTTTTCATTCTCACTAACATAGTTACAATAGTGGATTGAATTAATTGCGTTAATGATTAAACGATTAGCGTGAACGTTAGCGATTTATTACCGTTCTATACCTAAAGTTTTACTTGTATATATTCTTGCAGTACGTGGATTACTTATTGTTAGTTTCAATTGAAACGATTACCAACATTTTTTCGTAAACAAACTGTATTATGTTCAGTAATGATTGCATTTACTTGAATTAATGCTTCCAAGCAGTTACGAATATTATTTGTTAGATTATCTACAAAATTTCTACTGATCTTTGTGATTATTGGCTGTAAAAACTTTTTGAAACGACGGATTTTGTTATTTAACTTATTTAACTTGTTGCTTGCGATTGACGTATAGCACGCTACTATATCTATAAATCGCAAAAAGCGAAACGAGGTAAGATAAATATTTGCCGTCTAAGCGAATATTGATTCAGGTTTATTTTCAAACACAACACACCTGCGAAAATAACACGGACCACGCGATGAATGGCCTTTCACGAGGGGAAGCTCCGTACTCGCTGAAAAATTTTTGACCTGCTGACAGGACTTTTGTTTCACATTTTTCCCATCATCGGTGAAAATATTAAATCGAAAGTTATATCCAGTTTGTCGAATTTTGTGTATTCATATATTTTTCAAACCATTTCCAATAAATACTTCATGAGATAAACTGTTATTTTTTTTAATAAGTTAAATTTAATACATAACATTTTATAACATATTTAACACATTTAATTTAACACATAACACAATAACATTTTTTTTTTAATAAGTTAAATTAATAAAATTCAAATTAATAACTGTATACCTTAGGTCTCTGACTTGTGAAGTCTATTAATATTAGAGATCCCTATTTCACATGTATTTAAGTACACGTGTAATTAACAGTTCTGAACCTTACTTCGTGTAATTTTTAATATACAGGTATTCATGTATTTCGTGTAAT